ATTAGAGACCTTGGTCATGTCAACAAGACCTGGGTTTGGAAAACTAGGAAGTTTGCCAGCCAAAGATTTCCTTAGGAAGACAGTATCTCCTTAGCCCACTACGTTTTTCAGTGGTTTTGAGAGACCAGTATATTGTGTATGAGGACATCAGGACATACTCTAAAACTCTCATGTAGTGGAAATACGTTGTTTTGTCTGAATGGCATTCAGGTTTTCCCTGGAAGCCACTAGTTTTTTTTTTTTTTTTTTTTTTTTTTTTTTTTTAATTGAGACGAAGTGTTGCTCTGTTGCCAAGGCTGGAGTGCAGCGGTGCAATCCTGGCTCACTGCAAGCTCCGCCTCCCGGGTTCACGCCATTCTCCTGCCTCAGCCTCCCGAGTAGCCGGGACTATAGGCGCCCGCCACCACGCCCAGCTAATTTTTTGCATTTTTAGTAGAGACGGGGTTTTACTGTGTTAGCCAGGATGGTCTCGATCTCCTGATCTTGTGATCTGCCCGCCTTGGCCTCCCAAAGTGCTGGGATTACAGGCATGAGCCACCACACCGGCCTAGTTTCAGAGCTATGGAATCCAACCTTGCCTTGAGCAAAGGAAGGGCGTTTTTAGAGGACTATTAGGTAGTTGGCCCAGGCATCAGAGGACATAATATCTGATCTGAGATCTGAATGAGCAGTAGAAGTTGGCCAAGAGGGCAAACAAGGACTCCAAACAGAGGGACCGACATGGACAAGGCCGGGTGAGGGCACATAGCTTATCTGATAAATTGTTTAGGGTTCATGTGGCAAGAGATGATTCAGGGGCTAGGAACTGACGCCTCTGTGGCTAGCTAAGGGAGTCTGGTTTTGTCTTGAAACCATGGGAGATACTGAATGACTTAATTCAGGGAAAAACTCGACTAGAACCATGGTCTCTGGGAAAGCAACAATTTCTAGTATGTGGCAGACACTGCTCGATATTCATAAACGGCCTTTCTTTTTCCTCCTGGGCACAGGGCAAGACTACAATTCCCAGGCTCTGTTGAAGCCATGTGACTGAGTTTGAGCCCATCAAGTATAGATGAAAGGGATAGATAGTATTTCTAGGCCCAGCACATAATAATCTCCTGCACAGCCCTCCACATTCTCTTTTTCCCATTTTGCTGGAGAAGATCTGAGGACCTAGATGGGGCGGCTCCAAGATGGAAGTAGCCTGGATCCCTGAGTCACCATTTGGAGACGAGCCTGCCATGGACTATTATGTGAGCAAAGAGTCCATTTTTGGGGGGTGGGGGTGGGCGATGGAGTATCGCTCTGTGGCCCAGGCTAGAGTGCAGTGGTGCGATCTCGGCTCACTGCAACCTCCGCTTTCCAGGTTCAAGCGATTCTCCTGCCTCAGCCTACTGAGTAGCTGGGATTACAGGCGTGTGCCACCATGCCCGACTAATTTTTGTATTTTTAGTAGAGACGGAGTTTCACCATGTGGGTCAGGCTGGTCTTGAACTCCTGACCTTGTGATCCGCCCGCTTTGGCTTCCCAAAGTGCTGGGATTACAGGTGCAAGCTAGTGTGCCCAGCTTAGTTTTTCTTTGTTCAAGGGACTAAGCAAGAACAGATGAAGGCATGGGTGAAAACAAGAGAGAATTATTCTGGAAGCAGTACTGGCAGGACTTGAGCAAATAATGAGGGGGATGGGAAAGCCTTGGGTCAGACTATCTTATGTTGCTATTTATAGGACGTGGAAGGAAGAGTCTAAGAAACATCCTGTATGATGTGCTGTGGGATATGTGGGATATGGAGGAGGTAGAGAACAGGGCTAAAGACAACCTTCCTAGAGGTGAAGATATCTGGCAGAGACCCTGTATTCCTGGGCCTCTCACTGACATGGGCTGTCAACAAACTGTCACACTCTTCTCTAGATATATCCACGTCTGTCCTGAAGCAGATATTTTTTGTGTACACAGCCATGGGTGAGTTCTTTAACTTCTTTGTGCCTCATTTTTATCATCTGAAAATAGTGATAATAAGTGATAAGACATCTCAAAGGGGGGGTTACAAATATATACAGAGTGTTTAACATGGTGTTGGAGATGTAGTGAGTAGTTGAGAAATGTCAGAAATAATCATTAAAATTCCTTTAGCTCCAGCATGACTTCTCTGTCAGTGCATACAAACACTCAGAGATAAAGCTATGAGCACAGAGCAGGATTTCACCTGTCTTGTTCACTGCTACATCTCCAGCCAGCTTAGAACAGTGACTGACTTGCAGCAGCTATTTAAATGTTTGGTGAGTGAATGAATGGATAAGGAACTCATCTCATTTTCTTTCCTTCCTCCTTCCTTTCTCCCTTCCTTCCTCCCTCCTCCTTTCCTTTCTTTCTTCCCTTTTTTCCATCCATCCATCCATCTATCCATCCATCCACTCACCTATCTATCATCCATCCATTCATCCATCCACCCACCTGTCTATCTATCCATCCATCATCCACCCAACCATCTATCTATCCATCATCCATCCATCCATCCATCCATCCATCCATCCATCCATCCATGCATCCACTCATCCATCCACTTATCCATCCATCCACTCATCCATCCACTTATCCATCCATCCATCCATCCATCCATCCATGCATCCATGCATCCATGCATCCATGCATCCATCCACTTATCCATCCATCCATCCATCCATCCATCCCTCTTAGAAAAGCAGTAGAGTGTAGTGGGTTAGCTCACAAGTATTTTTTTTTTTTCAATTGTGGCAAAATACACATAAAATAAAATATGCCATTTTAACTATTTTTTTTTTTTTTTTTTTGAGATGGAGTTTCATCCTGTCACCCGGGCTGGAGTGCAGTGGTGTGATCTCAGCTCATTACAACCTCTGCCTCCCATGTTCAAGCGATTCTCCTGCCTCAGCCTCTGAAGCAGCTTGGATTACAGGTGCGCACCACCACACCCAGATAATTTTTGTATTTTTAGTAGAGATAGGGTTTCACCATGTTGGCCAGACTGGTGTTGAACTCCTGAAATCAAGTGATCTGCCTGCCTTGGTCTCCCAAAGTGCTGAGATTACAGGTGTGAGCCAAACACGCCCGGCAATTTGAACCATTTTTAAGTGTACATTTCAGTGACATTAAGTACTTCACATTGTTGTGTCACTATGTCATCCATCCCAAAACTTTCCTCCCGAACAGGAAATCTGTACCCGCTAAACACAAACTCTTCATTCTTCCTTCCCCTCAGGCCCTGGAAACCACCATTCTACTTCTGTCTCTATGAATTTGACTAGTCTAGGTACTTCATACAAGTGGAATCATACACAGTATTTATCCTTTTGTGACAGCCCACAAGTTCTGTGATCATATAAGCTGTATAATCCTGGGAAACTCAATTTCCTGACACTCCACTTCCTCGTCTGTGAAATGGCTATAATCATAGTACCTGCTTCACAGGGTGGCAGTGAGGTTTAAATGAGATAATAGAAGGCACTTAGCCCCAGGGCCTGGCACATAGAACATGCTCACTATTAGCTATTAGTTACAGCCAAGCATACATTGTAAATTCGTGGACACTGGTATTGTGTGTCTAGCACTGTCCTGAGCACTTTATCCATATTATCTCATTTAAACTTCCCAACGACCCTATGACACGGTGCAACCACAAACATCCACACCCAACAGATGAGAAAACAAAGGCCCAGAGAGGCCAAGTGCTGTGCCCAAGGGTTACATGGCTAGTTTACGGCAGAGCTGCGATTGAACTCCAAGCAGCCTGTTTCCAAAGTCCATGGGTCTTGCCGCTGCATTGCATTACCTCTTGCGAGTCTCTGCTGCCTCTGTCTGTGAAGGATCGTCGTCTGTACACTCAGTCCTGGCTCAGGTTGTCATGGTGACTGCAGGTGTTTGAAGCTGTGGGACTCAGTGGAAAAATACTTGAAAATGGGTTTGCTGTTTTTTTCTTTTCTTTTCTTTTCTTTTTTTTTTTTTTGAGACAGGGTCTCACTCTGTTGCCCAGGCTGGAGTGCAGTGGTGTGATCTCAGCTCACTGCAACCTCTGGGTCCTGGGTTCAAGTGATTCTTATGCCTCATCCTCCTGAGTAGCTGGGATTACAGGCAAACACCAACACACCATCTCTTCCTTCACTCCCTCCCTCCCTCCCTCCCTTCCTTTCCTTCTCTTTCTTTTTCTCTTTCTTTCTTTCTTTTCTTTTCTTTTCTTTTCTTTTCTTTTCTTTTCTTTTCTTTTCTTTTCTTTTCTTTCCTTCCTTCCTTCCTTCCTTCCTTCCTTCCTTCCTTCCTTCCTTCCTCCCTCCCTTCCTTTCTCTCTCTCTCTTCCTTCTTCCCTCCCTCCCTCTTTCTTTTTCTCTTTCCTTTTCTTTATTCTTTCTCTTTCCTTTTTTTCTTTTTTCCCAGAGCCTTGCTCTGTTGCCCAGGCTGGAGTACAGTTGCATGATCTTGGCTCACCGCAATCTTCGCCTCCTAGGTTCAAATGATTCTCCTGCGTTCGTCCCGCTAAGTAGCTGGGATTACAGGCATGCAGCACCACGCCCGACTGAGTTTTGTGTTTTTAGTAGAGATGGGGTTTCATCATGTTGGCCAGGCTGGTCTCGAACTCCTGACCGCAAGTGATCCACCCACCTCGGCCTCCCAAACTACTGGGATTCCCGGCATGAGCCACTGCACCTGGTTGAGTTTGCTGTTTCTTAACATGTGAGGCTCCAACCCAGTGGGGCCCACTTACATGCACTGTCCTGCTTTGGACCATGGGGAGCTGGGGTGCTGAACCCATCTCCTACCTTCTACAACCTGGAGTGTGCTCCCAGATGACACAGCCAAGCTGGCGTGTTTTTCTCTCATTGGTGGAAAGTTCAGCAATCCCTGACTCCCTCATCCTGCCCTGTTGAGATTTAAAAAAATTTCCTCTTCTGGGCCTCAGAACCGCCTCCTACCTGAGGTTTATTGCTTTCTCTGCACTTGCATTGAGCCTTTGCAGCCCTTTAAAAGGGGCAGAGCCTACAGTGTGACCAGCAGGTCCTGTCCCTAGGAGATAACAGTGTCCTGGACAGCAGGTGCAGGCTTCCCAGCAGCTCAGGCAACAGCCTGATGTCTGTGCCATCTGATCCTGATGTCTGGAGAGGTGAGCCCTCTGCCAGCAGCTTCCTCTCCAGGCTGGCAGAGCAAGGGGGGCTGTGAATGAATTCAAGGCTGGGGGTCGGGACCTTCTGTATCTGGACTTGCCTCCCACCCGTGTCCTCTGTCCCTGTTTCCCTACGGCAGATAGCCATGTGTGAGCCTGAATTTGGCAACGGCAAGGCCAGGGAGCCGAGTGTGGGTGGCAGGTGGCGAGTGTCCTGGTATGAACGGTTTGTGCAGCCGTGCCTGGTGGAACTGCTGGGCTCTGCTCTCTTCATCTTCATCGGGTGCCTGTCGGTCATTGAGAATGGGACGGACACTGGACTGCTGCAGCCGGCCCTGGCCCACGGGTTGGCTTTGGGGCTTGTGATTGCCACGCTGGGGAATATCAGGTGAGACCAGCTCTGAGGATTCAGCCTGGTGCTGACTTGGGGCGCTGGGGGTGGAAAGCAGAGCCGTTGTCAAGGACCCCTGGGCGCATATATTGGGGATTTCAAGGAGCGCTCTGGATAACGATGGGGTTGGGAGTCAGACTGTCTGGGGTCAACTCCAGACCCCGCAGCCTGTGAGCTTGTGACTTTGGGCAAGTCATTCTCTTTTTGAGTAGCTGGATCACAGGCATGTGCCACAGCACCCAACTAAGTTTTAAATTTTGTGGTAGAGAGGGGGTCTCACTATGTTGCCCAGGCTAGTCTTGAACTCCTGGTCTCAAGCGATCCTCCTGCCTTGGCTTCCCAAAGTTTTGGGATTACAGGCGTGAGCCACCATGCCTGGCTGGCAAGTCACTCTCTAAACCCAAAGTTCCCCACCTATAAAATGGGAATAGTAGCATACTTTTAAATGGTTTTCTTCAAGCCAACACATCTATATTGCTAACCATGTACCAGGCACTAGTCTAATTACTTTATAGATATTAGTTATTTAATCCTCACAAAAGCCTTGTGGGGTAGGTCTTGTTATTAACCCCATTTTATAGCTGCAAAAGAGAGAGGCTGTGTAATCTGGCCAAGCTTAGAGGGCCAGAGAGTGGCAGAGCCGGGAGCCAAGAACAAGCTGTCCGGCTCCAGCGCTCAAATCTAAGTGCCTCATGGGGGAGGCGTGAGAATTAAATGAAGTAGAGCGCCTGGCACACACCAAACACACAATAGGCATTGGTTGCTGTGTTATTGTTACCACTAGAAGGGGGTTTTAGGGAAAGCAGAAATGCATAGAAGACCTGAGCCAGGTTTTCCCACCTGGGTATGCGGGGATTTGCAGTGGTCCTGGCTTATCAAGAGGTGATCAAGAAGGAGGGGCAGGAAAAGGAACAGGCTTCTCTGGCTTAGCTCTCATCTGGGTAGAGGATCAATGGGAAGGTCTGTGGACATGGCTGCTGGTTCCCAGGAGAGCCAGCCAGCACGACGAAGATCTTGAATGCGGTGCCTGGCAGGGTGATCTGGGACATGGTTGGTCTGTATTAAATCTCACTCAAAACATAGATCTGAATGAGGAAACAGAAATACTGTTTCTGAGAAAACCAGAATGGAAAAGAGCTTTAACATCTCTTTAGACTGGGTGCAGTGGCTCATGCCTGTAATCCCAGCACTTCGGGAGGCTGAGGCGTGTGGATCACCTGAGGTCAGGAGTTGGAAAGCAGCCTGGCCAATAGGGTGAAACCCTGTCTCTACTAAAGATACAAAAATTAGCTGGGCGTGGTGGCAGGTACCTGGAGTCCCAGCTACTTGGGAGGCTGAGGCAGAATAACTGCTTGAACCAGGAGGGGGAGGTTGCATTGAGCCAAGATTGTGCTACTGCACTCCAGCCTGGGCAACAGAGTGAGACTCCATCTCCAAAAACAAACAAACAAACAAACAAACAAACAAACAAAACCACGTCTCTTTAGACGTCCAAGGGAGGCTGTGAGTGAAAGAAAAAGTATATGATATTCCCTTTGGACGGATCTGAGATTGAAGGCAACCTTTATCACTTCTTAGCTGGGTGACCACAGCAAGTTGCTGAAACCTCTGTGTGCAGTGGTATAAATGTGAGTAATACTAATAGCTGATGTTTATTGAATGTAACTCCATAGATAGTACTATGGGCTGTACACGTATTAATTCTTTGTATTGTTGCAGTAGCTTTCTCAGGCAGAGATCATTGAGGCACAGAGAAGTTATGTAACTTGGCCAGTGTCACACAGCTCTTCAGTGGCAGAGTTGGGCTTTGAACCCTGGCCAGCTGGCTGGAAAGATCATCTCTTTGGCACTGCAAATACTGCCTCCTGTTTGGCTTTTTTGACAAATATTTATTCAGCACCTACTGCGTGCCAGACACTGACTTTGAGGTTGTTCACCGGATCCAGGATAAGTTATGTATGTAAGTTATAAGCACCACAGCACCTGGCACATAGTAAGTGTTAGATAAATATTTGCTGAGTGAACAGTGAATGAAGGAATGAATGTGTCTTGATTGTTTTATTGCTAATGAGTGTAAACCAGGAAATGTGTGATTCTCGTCACCTGGCCCTCCTGGCACAGCCATGCTCTGAATGACAGTTTCTCTCCCTTTTGGGGCTCCCGTGGGAAGCCGCCTCACCCTGACTCCATCTGTGTATCTCAGCAGAGCCCAGGCTAAGCTACTTGAGGCCAAATAGGCCTGGCTGCCCCTCTTCCCAACCTGTGGAGTCTGAGCACTGGCTGGTGCTTTCACACCATGCATGGAGGTTGGGCACGGTGGCTCACGCCAGTAATCCCAGCACTTTGGGAGGCCGAGGCAGGTGAATCACCTGAGGTCAGGAGTTCAAGAGCAGCCTGGCCAACATGACAAAACCCGTGGTGGCACGCCCCTGTAATTCCAGCTACTTGGGAGGCTGAAGCAGGAGAATCGCTTGAACCCAGGAGGCGGAGGTTGCAGTGAGCCGAGATTGCACCATTGCACTCCAGCCTGGGTGACAAAGTGAGACCCTGTCTCAAAAAAAATAAAATAAAATAAAATAAAATCAAACCATGCATGAGGGTCTGGGCCCAGAGCTGAGTCAGACAAGTTGGGGCAGCTGGTCTCGAGGTATCAGGGTGTTGGACGAAGTCCTTTTGTGTAGAGCTGAGGTCCTCTGTCCAGTCTCAGCTGAATGTCCTATGTCCACTGGAGGTTGGGTAAACTCATTGGTGGGCTCTTAACATTTGGGGGGCACTTTGGTTCTTGTGTGACATGGGGAGTCTTGGGGTCCCTTTCTCTCTCACTGGGGAGTATCCACTCCTGGAAACCAGATGGATTCAGGAGGCCAAACTGTGACAATAGTTCCTCCATTAGAGTGGGACTGGATGGGACACTGGTGAGTGCAGCCACCCTGGCTCCGGGGCCTGGGCTGGTTGAACATCTTGGTGAACAGGAAGGCTCTTTACCCATGGGCCAGGGAGTGGCTGATCAACTGCAACCTGCCCTTCGACCTCAGGTTCTGACTTGTCTAATTCCCTTCCACACCCCAAATTCCCAATCCCAGTCCCCAACCTGGTCATGAACCTCCAATTCCACCCCATGATTCTCCATGCTATTTCCAGCCCAAACTCCAAATCTGCATTTTACACCCATCACACTTTCAGACCACAAGTAGGGTTTTCATTGGCTGAGCATTTCAACCAATCAGGAGGTCTTATTCAGAGCCTAGCTACTCATAAGGGGAGACCTGGGCCGGGCACAGTAGCTCATGCCTGCAACCCCAGCACTTTGGGAGGCCAATGTGGGTAGATTGCTTGAGGTCAGGAGTTTGAGACCAGCCTGACCAATATGGTGAAACATCGTCTCTACTAAAAATACAAAAATCAGCTGGGAATGGTGGCACACGCCTGTTGTCCCAGCCACTTGGGAGGCTGAGTCAGGAGCGTTGCTTGAACTCAAAAGGTGGAGGTTGCAGTGAGCCAAGATCATACCACTGCACTCCAGCCTGGGCAACAGAGCAAGACTCCGTCTCATAAAATCAAACAAATCATAAAGGGAGGCCTGGATACAGCTCATGGGCTACTAACTTGGAGCCTTGGTGTCTCAATCTGACCTGTGGCCACATCTCTGAAGGGCTGGAGGGAGGCTCAGAGGGAGTCAGGGAGGAGTTAAGGGATGGTCTCCCTATACACGCTTCCTCCAGGGCCATCCTGGGGGCTGGACTTAGGACGTAGAGGCTGCCCTTTATCTCTTACCCTTTGCCTGGCATCTCAGGGAAATTGGAAGCAATTTGGCATCTCTTTGTATTTGAGCTGGGCCCTGGACTGACTCTTTCCCTGTGAAACCAGCCTGGTGGGTTGGCTGGGACATGCTGTCTCGAGTGCCAGCCATGTGGTCAGCCCTGGGCTCATGACTCCCTCTGCTCTTGTGGGTTACAGTGGTGGACACTTCAACCCTGCGGTGTCCCTGGCAGCCACGCTGATCGGAGGCCTCAACCTGGTGATGCTTCTCCCGTACTGGGTCTCACAGCTGCTCGGGGGGATGCTCGGGGCTGCCTTGGCCAAGGTAGGTGAACCCCAGGCACTGGGCTAGTGGCTTCCTCTCTGATGGGGCTGCTGGAGGTGTATGATGTGTGTATGTGTCGGGGGGGACAGTGGGAAGTGGGGAAATGTCCAATCTTTTGCTTATCTCTGCCAGTGGAATTGGTGGATGTTTTTCTTCTTTCTTTCTTTTTGCATTTTATTTTATTTTTATTTATTTGCTTTTTTTTTTTTTTTTTTAATGGAGTCTCGCTCTGTCACCCAGGCTGGAGTGCAGTAGTGTGATCTCGGCTCACTGCAACCTCTACCTCCTGGGCTCAAGCAATTCTCCTGCCTCAGCCTCCTGAGTAACTGGGATTACAGGCGCATGCCACCACGCCTGGCTAATTTTTGTATTTTTAGTAGAGATGGGGTTTCACCATGTTGGCCAGGCTGGTCTTGAACTCCTGAGCTCAAGTGATTTGCCTGCCTCGGCCTCCCAAAGTGCTGGGATTACAAGTGTGAGCCACTGCGCCCGGCCTCTCTTTTTTATTTTAGAGATGGAGTCTCACTCTGTCGTCCAGGCTGGAGTGTGGTGGTGCAATCATAGCTGACTGCAGGCTGGACCTCCTGGGCTCAAGTGATCCTCCTGCCTCAGCCTCTTGAGTAGCTGGGACTATAGGTGTGTGTCACCACACCCAACTAATTTAAAAATTTTTTTTGCAGAGGTGGGCTCTCACTCTGTTGACCACATTGGTCTCCAACTCTTGGTCTCAAGTGATCTTCCTGCCTTGGCCTCCCAAAGTGCTGGGATTACAGGCATGAGTGACCGAGCCTGGCCAGCCACAGAGTTTTCATAGCTTTACGCATAAATCCATGGATAGACTTTCTCCCTCCATCCCTCTTTTTCTTTTTTTCCTCTCTCTCTTTCTTTCCTTTTGCCCTTAAGTCTCAGTTCAGCCAGGGACCCTTCAAGCCCGTCAAGATGTGGGCCTTGCTTGGCGGGTGTGTGGGGGGTGGTGGATGGGGAGCTCTGTTAGCTGGGCTGCGACAGGGTCTGAAGCTGTAACTGCTGACCCACCGCAGACTTTGTTCTCAAGCCTCACTTTACTGTCATCCCCTGCCCTGGTCTCTCCATGCTCCCATTTGAGAGCCACAGTCTGTTCCCCTATCTATGGAACATGCCCGGGACCTTCCTGCTCTGCTTCTTTAGGAAAAGCAGTGCCCAGACCTAGCTCAAGCCCCGCCACTTAAAACCTGTCAAACACGGCTCTGCCAGTTGTGGGACAGCACGGTTCCCTGAGCACATTCTCCCTGCTAAATGTTTTACACATATTCTCTTATTTCACCTCCCAGCAACTTTACGAGAAACGACAGTCAGTTCATAGACAGCACTTACCTTGTGCCAGGCACACCAGCGGCCTTGTCTGTGAGCCGGGAGCTGTCAGTATCATCCCTATTTTATAGATGAGAAAACAGAGGGGCAGAGAAGCAGGCAACTTGCTCAAGTTCAGACGTGCTTGTAAGCAGCGCAGCCCCGACCGGGTCCAGAGTCCAGAAGCTTGCGCACTGCGCTGTCTTTCCCCTTTGAGGCTGTGACAGCCCTGAGGCTGACTGCCCGTAGAAGGAATTGAGCTCAGGCTTCAGGGTCCCCCTGTATACGCCCCTTCCACGGTTCTATGGGGGCCTAGCAATGAGTTCACCTGATCATATGTGTGTGTAAAGTTTGTAAGAGTAAGCTATTTTGAGTTGCACGTGGCAGCTGATACCTGTAATCCCAGCATTTTGGGAGGCAGAGGCAGGAGGATCACTTGAGCCTAGGAGTTCCAGACCAGCCTGGGCAACATGTGAGACCCCCCATCTTTACAAAAAATAATAATAAAAAAATTAGGTGGGCGTGGTTGGTATGCACCTGTGATCCCAGCTACATGAGAGGCTGAGGTAGGAGGATCACTGGAGCCCAGGAGATCGAGGCTGTAGTGAGCTATGATCGGGTCACTGCACTCCAGCCTGGGTGATGGAGCTAGACGCTGTCTCAAAGAAAGAAAAAAAAGACAGTTTATGTTCTTTTTCTCAAAGAGGATCATCTAAGTTACATAAGCTTTAGGCCTGTAACCTGGAGCCATGACTGGGTTATCCTCAGTTTTCTTTTTCTTTTTTCTTTGTTCTTTTTTCTTTTGAGATGGAGTCTTGCTCTGTTGTTCAGGTTGGAGTGCAGTGGTGTGTGTGATCTCAGCTCACTGCAACTTCTGTTTCCAGAGTTCAAGTGATTCTTGTGCCTCAGCCTCCTGAGCAGCTGGGATTACAAGTCCCTGCCACCTTACCCCGCTAATTTTTGTATTTTTAGTGAAGATGGGGTTTCACATGTTGGCGAGGCTGGTCTCAAACTCCTGGGCTCAAGTGATCCACCCACCTCGGCCTCCCAAAGTGCTGGGGTTGCTGGCGTGAGCCACCACACCTAGCCCCATTCCTATTTTTCAGCTGAACAAAGTGAGGCTCAGAGAGGTTTAGTAGCTCACACAGGGTCACAGAGTAAAATCTGGCAGAACTGGGATGTGGATCCAGGTCTATGTAACTGAAATTGGACATAACCCTTCACTGGCCCTTACGGTGGGCAGGCATGTTTTAGGCCCTCTCCCCTCAGTTTCCAGCTGTCTCTCTGCCCCACTGTGAGGCTGAGCAGCTTCTCTGTGCAGGCGGTGAGTCCCGAGGAGAAGTTCTGGAATGCGTCTGGGGCAGCCTTTGTGACTGTCCAGGAGCACGGGCAGGTGGCAGGGGCATTGGGGGCAGAGATCATCCTGACGACGCTGCTGGCCCTGGCCGTGTGCATGGGTGCCATCAATGAGAAGACAAAGGGCCCTCTGGCCCCATTCTCCATTGGCTTTGCTGTCATCGTGGATATCCTGGCCGGGTGAGTGTCCCTTAGCAGTGGGGCGACCATGCCCAGATCTGCACTGTTCAGCTCTGGAGGAGCTCAGGCCTGAGGGCCACAGATTCAGTTGCTATTAGGGGCCAGGAAGGTGCTGCAAATGGGGACGTGGGCTGGCATCAGGCAGACAACAGGGAGTGGTGGGGACTGCGGTGTCACAGGCGCTCCAGTCAATTCAGCTCTTATCAATTATTGCTGGGAACATGGGTCTGGGGTGATGATTTCATTCAAAGGAAGTCAGAAATTTAAATTTGTACGTGATGTTTTCCAATTTTCGTAGCGTAAATACAACATTTCTGTGAACTGTGTTCATTTGGTCACTGGGCAGCCAGGTTTTAGACTCAGGATTACAAAAAGCATCTGTAGCTGTTGTCTCCTTTATTTTGAGTTTCCCAGCAGGCTTTGGAAGGGATTAAGGCAACAAGATTGGGGATGATGTCTCCCGTTTTATAGATAAGGAAACTGAGGCTCAGAGATGATAGAAGTGACTTATTTAAGGTCAGTGGGCAGTGGCAAATTAAGTGACAGATTTGGGACAAGAGGATGAGTGACCCCTTTTTATTTTTCTTATTTATTTTATTTAGAGATGGGGGCCACGCTGTGTTGCCCAGGCTGGTCTTCAACTCCTGGCTTCAAGCCATCCTCCTGCATTGGCCTCTCAAAGTACTGGGATTACAGGAATGAGCCACATTGCCCAGCCCAGGGAGCCTCTCCCTAATGTCTGACTCTTTCCTTTCTTTTGGACACAGAACCAAGCCTAACCTTTCTCCTGGGTCAGCTCTCCCTCAGCTTTGGGAGGTGGAGCCTGGGGAATGTGTAAAGTTGTGGCCATGCTTTGCTGCCCCCTAGTGGCCTTTGATTCACTTACAAGTCTTTTGACTTCGAAGCTGGACACAGGGTGGGGATGAGGTCTACAGGCCCCAGCTTGAGAGAATGGGGTAAAGACAGAGCCCCAGAACGAGAGAGGTGCACCTGGGGAAGAGTCTCCCTGTAGGAGATTCTGGGCCTTAAGCTTGTGGTGCAACAAGGGCCTCGTCTGGACCAGTTAGATTAGTTAATGCTTTTTGTACATTAATTATATTCGAGGTGTGGGCTCCGTTTGCATTTTCTCATTCACTTCTGATGACAACCTATGGGATAGTCACTTTCACCTCACTTGAATACAGAGAGGTTCATGGAGCTCCCCACAACTAGAACTATCCAGGCTGGGGTTTTTCTTTCTTTATATATATATATTTTTAAATTTTTGTGGTTGAACCTAGTAGGTGTATATATTTCTGGGTTACATGAGACGCTTTGATATAGGCATGCAATGCATAATTACCATGTCAGGGCAAATGGGGTATTCATCCCCTCAAGCATTTATTCTTTGTGTTGCAAACAATCCACTTATACTGTTCGTTATTTTATTTTAGTTTTAGTTTTAGTTTTTGAGACAGAGTCTTGCTCTGTCACCCAGGCTGGAGTGCAGTGGCATGATCATGGCTCACTGCAACTTTCAACCCCCAGGTTCAAGCGATTCTCCTGCCTCAGCCTCCCCAGTAGCTGGGATTACAGGCATGCGCCACCACACCTGGCTAATTTTTGTATTTTTAGTAGGAACGGGGTTTCACCATGTTGGCCAGGCTGGTCTTGAACTCCTGACCTCAAGTGGTCTGCCTGCCTCGGCCTCCTAAACTGCTGGGATTACAGGCGTGAGCCACCGTGCCTGGCTGAGGTTACATGAGGTGTTTTGATACAGGCAAGCAACGTGTAATGATCACGTCAAAGTAAACGGGGTATTCATCCCTTCAAGCATTTATTCTTTGGGTCACAAACAATCCAATGATATACTTTTCGTTATTTTATAATATGTGGGCTGGGTTTTGAATCTAGGTCAGCTTGACTCCAAAAGGACTGAAACTGATGGACTTTGCTCTGTAGACTTTGGAACAGATGTAGATCCAGCTTCTCTTCCTGCCGTCGCTGAGCAGGCATTTTTGCTGGGCATTCTAGAGGAGTTTGTGGGGAGTGCTGGACTGCACGCCCAGTGGGGAGCCACACCTTCTGCTTCCTAGTGCTGATAGCCTCTCTACCTTCTTTAGGATCTACCCAGGAGCTCATGATGTGGGAGTTTAGAGAGGGTTTCTGGGTGGTGTGTGACTAGGCCTAGCTGGGGACATGAGCGTGAGGTGAGGTGGGGCCTGGCTGGGATCCTGGTGACCGGGGTGCCTGGGTGTTTGCAGGGGCACTGTATCTGGAGGCTGCATGAATCCGGCCCGTGCTTTTGGACCTGCAGTGGTGGCCAACCACTGGGACTTCCACTGGATCTACTGGCTGGGCCCACTCCTGGCTGGCCTGCTTGTTGGACTGCTCATTAGGTAGGAGTGTGACACAGGGTCACTGGCCCATGGGATGGGCACTTGGCAACGTCTCCCAGAGAGTCCGGGGCTAGAGGGCTAGGCTCTCACTTAGGTTTGGAAGAGAAAAGAGGGAGCCACTTTAGAGGCAAAGAAAACGGCTCCATTTAGGAGCTTTGGTTGCAAGTGACAGATCTATTTCAAAACAGCGTTTGCCATAAAGAGGAATTCATTGGCTCACATCATCAGAAACGTCACAAGGAGCAGTGGTTTCAGGTGGTGCTCAGACAATGTCTTTAGGACTTGGTCTTTCTCCTTTTTTTTTTTTTTTTTGACAGAGTCTCCCTCTGTTGCCCAGGCTAGAGAGCAGTGGTGTCATTTCAGCTCAGTGCAACCTCTGCCTCCTAGATTCAAGCAATTCTCCTGCTTCAGTCTCCCAGGTAACTGGGATTACAGGCGCCTGCCACCACACCAGGCTATTTTTTCAGTATTTTTAGTAGAGATGGGGTTTCACCATGTTGGTCAGGCTGGTTTCAAATTCCTGACCTCAAATGATCCTCCTGCCTAGGCCACCCAAAGTGCTGGGATTACAGGTATGAGCCACTGTGCCCTGCCTTGGTCCTTCTCATAGGCTCTGTTTTCCCCGGGTGGGCTTCATGCTTAGATAGACTCCAATGGAGGCGAAGATGCTTACCAGTCACTCGAGGCTTGTATCTCGGCAGCTTAACAACTCTAGAGGAAATAGAACAACAAGATCTAGCAAAAAGCTAGAGTCTGGTATTCACTGGTTTGAACTGGCCCACCGTGCGTGGGTGATTTGCCCACTTCAGAATCAATCACTGAGCTACGGGGGTCAGGCACTTTTTTTTTTTTTTGTTTCTGAGACGGAGTCTCGCTCTGTCACCCAGGCTGGAGTGCAGTGGCGAAATCTCGGCTCACTGCAACCTCTGCCTCCTGGGTTCAAGCAATTCTCCTGCCTCGGCCTTCTGAGTAGCTGGGATTACAGGTGCACACCACCATGCCTGGCTAATTTTTATATTTTTAGTAGAGACAGGGTTTCACTGTGTTGACCAGGCTGGTCTCAAACTCCTGACCTCATGTGATCCACCCTCCTGGGCCTCCCAAAGTGCTAGGATTATAGGCATGAGCCACCGTGCCCAGCCAGTTTTTGTAATTTTTTTTTTTTTTTTTGGTAGAGATGGGCTTCACCATGTTGGCCAGGCTGGTCTCCAACTCCTGACCTCAAGTGATCTGCCTCCCAAAGCGCTGGGTTACAGGTGTGAGCCACTGCGCCCGGCCATCACTATTCATTTTCTCCTGGGCTTTCACAGTGGCAGCAATGAGCATCTTCAGGAAAAGGGTTAGAAACTAAGCAGGACCCAGGCGTGTGGCTCACGCCTGTACTCCCAGCACTTTGGGAGGCCAAGGTGGGTGGATCACTTGAAGTCAGGAGTTGGAGACCAGCCTGGTCAACATGGTAAAACCCTATCTCTATTAAAAATACAAAAATCAGTCAGGTATAGTGGTGTTTGTCTGTAGTCCCAGCTACTCGGGAGGCTGAGGTACGAGAATTGCTTGAACCCGGGAGGTGGAAGCTGCAGTGAGCTGAGATCACGCTACTGTACTCCAGCCTGGATGAGTGAGACTCCATCTCAATTAAAAAAAAAAAAAAAGAAAAAAGAAAAAAAAAGAAACCAAGCAGGAAACAGTGTCTCCCTCTCCCCAAGGGAATTTGGCTATTAAGGCTGGGGAGGCTCAGGAAGTCGTCTCTCTGGAGATTTCTGAGCCTGGAGACATGTGGCGAAGGGGTGGGTCTCTCCTCCGGGGCTGAGACCTTACTGGGTCGTCTTTCTTTCAGGTGCTTCATTGGAGATGGGAAGACCCGCCTCATCCTGAAGTCTCGGTGAAGCCGAGCTCATGGGATTCCTGCTGCTCCAGGTGTCCTCAGCTCACCTATCCAAGACTGAGGACCAGAGAGTTCCTGCATTTCCTGCTAAGGCAGAGGCCCGGAGGAGCCACCCCCTGCTTTCACTGCTTGGGCCTGGTTTCTCAGACAGACTGACTGCTGAGGAGGCTCTAGGTTCCTGGAATTCCTTTGTGCTCATCAGAGACCCCAGCCTGGGGAACACGCTGCCCGCGCTGCCCAGAGTGCGGTGCAAACACCACAACACGAGGGTATTTCTTGAGAGGAAGGTCCCCGAGTTGGATGAGGAGGCTGTTTCTGCACATCAGCTCATTCTCGCACTCCGTTTCTTTCTCCTCCTCTTGTTTCTTGATTGTTTTGTTGTAGAAGGGCCTTCTGGGGGCCCGGCCACTTCCTTGCTTCTCAAGCTGACAATTCTCACTTTGCAATAAATAGTCCAGTATTTCCTTCCATGTGCTTACTGGCTTGCCTTTCATTTGAGAAATGGGCATTGCTGAGGAGAAAGCAAGCAAAAAAAAAAAAAGTCTGGGGTTAGGCCTTGGCTGTCCAGAGCGGCTGATCCTACAGCCCAGCTCAGAGTCCTGGGCCATGGCAGGTATTTGGAGTTCAGGCCAGCCTAGAGCCGGTCCCCACTTGGACAGGCCCATCCTGGAGCTCTGCCTGGAGCTCAGAGTGCATGTTGAGTCCAATTTGGACTCTAGTCAGAGTCAATTCCAGATCACAGACCTCAGGCCCCTGCTGAAAAGCCCCAGGCAGAGTCCAGGGTCTGGCTGAGTACTCAGGGCTGTCCTTAGTTGAGTGCTCCGTGCTGTCCGGGACATGAATCAGCCTATTCATTCACTGTAGCTGGGGAGGTGGGTGGGGGGCAGGGTGTGGGCTTAGAGTGGGCTGCAAGAATTCCCTGAGGAAATATTAGGTTGGTCCAAAAAAAAAAAAATATATATATATATTTTTGCTTTTCGTTTTTTGTTTTTGAGACAGAGTCTTGCTCTGTCACCCAGGCTGGAGTGCAGTGGCATGATCTCAGCTCACTTCAACCTCTGCCTCCTGGGTTCAAGGGCTTCTCCTGCCTCAGCCTCCCAAGTAGCTGGGATTACGGGCGTATGCCACTACGCCCAGCTAATTTTTGTATTTTTAGTAGAGATGGGGTTTCACCACGTTGGTCAGGCCAGTCTTGAACTCCTGACCTCAAGTGATCAACCCACCTCGGCTTCCCAAAGTGCTGGGATTACAGGCGTGAGCCACCGTGCCCAGCCAGTTGGTGCAAAAGTATTTGCGGTTTTTCCCATTACTTTCAATGGCAAAAACTGCAATTACTTTTGCACTAACCTAATAGAATCCTGAACAAGTGACACAGTACAGGCCTGAAGAGCCAGTGGCACTTGGGTGGAAGATAGGAGTAGAACAAATAAAGGATGGAAAGACCCCTTCGAAGTAGAGTGTGTGTCTTCTCCCTAAGAATCAATGGGTCATTTATGGAAGATGATCATTGTAACACCAGAAAGAAGGGCAGGGAGAAACCACTCTCAACAACAAGTGAAAACTTGCCCCCTTCAAGGAGATGAGCAAAATGCTGTCTTGAGTGAAAATGAAGAAAATCACCACTACAATAAGAGACTGCCCATTGAGAACATAGATTCACGATATAGCCACACATCCAAACCATTCTCAGAGAAAGGGAGATAACAAACCAGAATAATGATGACAACTTGACAGAATAGAAAAGGGGAGGAAAAAATATGATACAACCAGAAACAAGCAAATTAGGACATCTACACAGAGTTAAAAATGGGCCAGGAATGGTGGCTCACGCCTGTAATCCCAGTACTTTGAAAGTCCGAGGTGGAGGATTGCTTGAGGCCCGGAGTTCGAGACCATCCAGGCAACATGGCACGACCCTGTAACTACAAAAAATAAAAAAATTAGCTGGGCAGGTGGCACATGCTTGTAGTCTCTTCTAATCGGGAGGCTGAGGTGGGAGGGTCGCCTGAACCTGGGAGGTTGGGGCTGCAGTGAGCTATGACAGCACCAATGCACTCCAGCCTGGGCAACAGAGTAAGATTCTGTCTCAAAAAAAAAAAAAAAAAAAAAAAAAAAGCCAGGTGCTCTGGCTCATGCCTGTAATCCCAGCACCTTGGGAGGCTGAGGTGGGTGGATCACTTGAGGTCAGGAGTTCAAGAGCAGCCTGGCCAACGTGGTGAAACCCTGTCTCTACTAAAAATACAAAAATTAGCCAGGCATGGTGGCGGGCGCCTGTAATCCCAGCTACTTGGTAGGCTGAGAGAGGAGAATTGCTTGAAACCAGGGGGTAGAGGCTGCAGTGAGCCAAGACTGCACCGCTGCACTCCAGCCTGGGCAACAGAGTGATACCCTGCCACAAAAATAAAATAAGAGTAAAAAATGTTAAAAGTTACTATTTTGTTCGGTGAAATGATGAAATAAATCTTTGACAAATCTAGTAAATAACAACAGTTATATATCCATATATATGTATACCTACATGTATGTGGCTAATGTTTATGGAGAGTTTGTTAAGTGTTAGGCACTGTGCTGAATGCTTTACGCGTATTATTATGCCATTTACTCCCTATGACAATCCTATGAGATAGTACAGTGCGTTGAATAATGTCCTCCCAAAATCTGTGTCAGTCTACAGTCTTAGAGTGTGACGTTATTTGGAAATACAGTCTTTGAAGATGCAATTAAAGTAAGGGTCAAGACAAGATCCCACTGGATTAGGGTGCCCTTTCCTAGTAAGAGACAGTAAAAGAGGTGCAGAGACACAAAGGAGAAAGCCACGTGAAGATGGAGGCAGAGGTTAGGGTTATACTGCCAAAAGACAGCACCAAGAGCCACCAGGAGCTGGGGGAGGGAAGGAAGGTTCTCATCTAGAACCTTTGTGGGAAGCCTGGCTCTGCTGACAGTCTAATTTCAGACTTTCTGGCCTCCAGAACAGAGAGAGAACAGTTTCTGTCATCTTAAGTCATGAAGTTTGTGGTGTTTGTTCAAGCAGTTCCAGGAAACGAATTCAGGTAGATTCTCTCATTATTCTCATTGTGCAGAGGAGCCAATGGAGTTCCAAAGGATGGCGTTATGCTAAGCTACACAGTTAGTGCATTGGTGGGGCAACTGTTGAAGGTCGGGTATATCTGGCTGCAGGGTCCATGATCTTTGTCATCATACTTTTCTGTTTCTGAATAAGGGACAATATTATGTCCTCTGCCTATTCTCCTACTTGCCTATTAGTTCCTCATTAAAAAGGGGACAGAGCCATGGTGGCGTGTGCCTGTAGTCCCAGCTAGTCAGGAGGCTGAAATGGGAGGATCGCTTGAGCTCCGGAGGTCAAGGCTGCAACGAGCTATGATTGCACTCCAGCCTGGGTGACAGAGTAAGACTTTGTCTGGGGGGAGAAAAAAAGGAGGACAGAAAGACATTCATTGTAACTCTTCTCATTTCAAACTTGCAATTGGATTTTAGGTTGTGGCTTTCATTTCCATTTCTAGACTATAAGCTCTCAAGAGCAAGATGGATATAAATTCATCTTTGTATTAAATAACTGTACATTATGTGTTTGGCATTTGCTGAATAGAAGGGACTCAGTTTTTTTTTTTTTTTCTTTTTTTTTTTAAATGGAGTCTTGCTCTGCCGCGCAGGCTGGAGTGCAGCGGTGTGATCTCGGCTCACTGCAACCTCCGCCTCCTGGGTTCAAGCGATTCTCCTGCGTTAGCCTCCTGCGTAGCTGGGATTACAGGTGTGTGCCACCACGCCCAGCTAATTTTTGTATTTTTAGTAGAGACGGGTTTTCACCAAGTTGGCCAGGCTGGTCTTGAACTCCTGACCTCAAGTGATTGGCCCACCTCAGCCTCCCAAAGTACTGGGATTACAGGCGTGAACCACCGTGCCTGGCCAGAAGGGACTCAGTACTCACTGACTGGAAGAATGGCATAGGCTGATTCCAGTGACTTCCAAATTCATTCTGACCCTACAGAGTGGAATCCAAAACTCATGCAGATCATCAGGTTCATCTCTCTCCCAGCTCCCTTTTTCTCAGTAACCAGGTCACAGAATTTTGGGGTGTTAGAGCTAGAAACTCTATTACAGTAGTAAAATATGGTGGCTGTAAGTTTATGTCCTGAGGAAGATCCAAGTTTAAGTTTCAGAACTGTCACCTTTTTGCTGTATGTGCTTGAAGCAGCTATTGAAATTCTTTAGCCTCAGCTTTCTCATCTGTAAAATGCAACTACTACCTCAGAATGCTTATGAAAATGAACGTTTATAAAGTATTAGCACAATGCCCAGTACATAGTAAGTACACAATCTGTTAGCTCTTATATTTATCATTTGATCAAAGGTTTTGCAATTTGCAGGTATCAGAATCATGACAAGGGGTGGGGTTTGGCAAGAAATTTCTTCTTCTTTTTTTTTTAGAGACAGTATCTTGTTCTGTCACCCAGGATGGAGTGCAGTGGTGCAGTCACAGCTTGCTGCAGCCTCGACCTCCTGGGCTCAAGCGATCCTCGAGCCTCAGACTCCTGAGTAGCTGAGACTACAGGTGTACATCACCACAGTGGCTAATTTAAAAACTTATTTTTGTAGAGATGGGTTCTGTGTTGCCCATGCTGGTCTTGAACTCCTGTCTTCAAGCCGTCCTCCCACCTTGGCCTCCCGAAGTGTTGGGATTACAGGCGTGATTACCAACCTTGGCAAGAAACTTATAAATAGACTTGGCATATATGTATTTTCTCAGTCAAGTATTCTCATATAGGGACCATTAGGGTCTCCCAAGGGAAAAAGGTTGGAACCCATTCATCCTGTCCAACGCCAGATTTCAAAATCCAGAGAAGCTGAATAATTTGACTGTAATTACACAGTTGTCAAGCAGCAGAGTTCAATTAGAATCCAGGATCTTGAACACACAGTCTAGTTCCTTTTCTACTGCAACAGGTGTGTACTTAATTCTCCAGATCCTTGGGGTACAAGTACCGAGCCATTTCCTTTTGCCAGAATTGTGTTGAGGTCCTCACATGCCATGTTGTTAGGAATTCTAGTATCCCTACTGGATTACATTTTCCAAGAACCCTGGGGGTTTAAACAAGCCAAAAGTTGCAGTGGCTCATGCCTGTAATCGCAGCACTTTGGGAGGCTGAGGTGGGTGGATCACCTGAGGTCAGGAGTTCAAGACCAGCCTGGTCAACATGGTGAAACCCCTTCTCTACTAAAAATACAAAAGTTAGCCAGGAGAGGTGGCGCACGCCTGTCATTCCAGTTACTTGGGAGGCTGAGGCAGTAGAATCTCTTGAACCTGGAAGGTGGAGGTTGCAGTGAGCCGAGATGGCGCCATCGCACTCCAGCTTAGGTGACAGAGTGAGACTCCATCTCAGACAACAAAACAAAACGAAACGAAACATAACACCTTGCACGTTGTAGGGAAATTACTTCGTGCCTGCAGCTG